TATATATATAATGTTTTGAAATAGATAACAACAACATAAGGAATTTGGTTTTGCCTTGGGCTTTATAGTGGTGAAGCTGTTTGCATTTCTTTTTTTAAACAGCAAGAAGATATTGGGCTCATATACCTTCATCAGTCTTACTTCACAGGCTTTACATTTTCTTCTGTGCATGCAGTTTATTTTTATTATTTTTTTTTTTTAGGTATAATGACTTCCTTTCATTATCCCAAAAATGTGGCTGTTACGGTAAGTCAAAATACCACAAGTTAAGGCTGTACTTATAATTTTTTTTTTCTGTGTAGAGCATCCTGTTTAGACTTTACCCTGCATCTCCCCCCATGACTGCTGCAAATGGACACCAGCTCCTCCACACCTGTGCTATAATAGATTTAACTAATCTTTTTGGTTGTGGCTTGGAAATTTTCTAGATACTATTCTACAAGTCTAGTGAAATGAGAAATGAGGCAACCTGAATAAATTTTTGTTGAGCGGAGTGATATTTTATAGGGTTAGAGCATGACTGGACTGCATTTCTTTTTCGGGCGCATGACTTTTGATGATTTCCATCATTCTTATTGGTTGAATCTAATAATTCTATTCATATGGATAACTATGTTCTTCTTGATATTTTGGTAAGAGTTAGTTTTTTTTTCTATTTAAAAGAAAATATCCTTCTCTAGACTGTGATATATAGGCGACCCGTCCAGGGTTTATCCCCATTGGGTATCTCACCCATTGGCAGCTCGAGAGAAGCACCAGCACCCCTCGCAACCCCAGAAGGGATAAACGTGACAGAAAATGAATGAATGAATGCATGGATGGAACTTTCTCTAGAAGACATTTAGTTTATCAGTAGGGGAAGCTGATTATTTAGCACCGTCTTAGATGTTTACATTTTCACACACTCTCCTTTCTTTCAGACGATTACAATAGTTTTCCAGCTTTAAATAGAAAATGTAGACTTATTAATTGGTTGTTCCTGGATTTTTTCTAAACTTTCTAAATAAATTCTTTTTTATCCAAAGGGTTTCATTTTAGGTCGTTTAAATTTGCACAGATTGTAGAAATAAATATAGATTTTAAACATGATCCTGGAAACACGAATTGTTCCAACAAGCCATTAAAATACCTAAATTATGATGACATTCATAGCCATGAGGGGTTAGAAACTTTCTGGACACAGATTTAATGTATCTAATGGTGAGACTGCTTGAGTCACCAACACTGTGTCTTTATCAAGACTAATGGTAGGTAAATGTTGATACGGGAAGCCCTCTGCAGTCATGCTTATACCATCACCTAATGGGGCGTGGTTCCATCCAGTCAATGTGTAATATGTGTTATTTCTAAAAGGTTGGTTTCATGACTTAAACCTTTTTAGTTCCTCTTTTAGAATCCCTTTTTTCATGGAATCGATAGGTATAAATACATCAAACTCTCAGGTTTTAGTAAATTTACCTGGATTTCCAGGGCCTTGACTCGATGTCGGTGGTTCCTAACCTCCTCTTGCAGCTCAGACATTGTCTCCCTCAGCTCCTCAAGCTGCTCCTTTCTGTTCTGGTTCTCTTGAAGCCAGAATGAAATCTCATCTGTGCAGCGAAACATGTCCGGGCAACGTTTTTCTGTCAATCCTACCTGAGGCAGAGTTGCCATCAGCCGACATTGTCCATTTGGCGTCAGCTGGCTGCTGTACTCGCCACATTGTGTCTGGTTCAAAGTTTGGTTGGTGGTCCCATTGATGACATCAAAACCCTCAATCTTTATGACGTTTGGGGCATCAGGATTCAGGTCAGAATATGTTTCAAGGATGGAGGAAGAAGGATGCCAGTCAGCATCCTCATAGGTGCCGTGGTTTATATCGGGTACATTCCAGTTTGTCTCCATCTGCATGTCTGGAACATCCCTAGGAGTCCGGTTTTTCTTTTTTGGAACCTTTTCCTTAGATTCTGGGATTGTTTTATGTTGCTCATCCTGCTGCCCAACTTCAGAGTATTCATTCAAGTCCAAAAAGTCATTGCTGGCATAATGGAAACACCAGCCAGTGAGCAAAAAAGTCCTTAACACTTGTTCTAACCTCATGTTGAAATTCTAGTAAATTGCGGTCTCTGGCTGCTGTTGACTGTAATCCAAAGTAAATCCAATTCACTAGTGTAATTAGTTCCGGGATCAACATCAGGAAACAACATTATAGCCGCAGAATGACATCCAGACCAAATGCAGGTACTATTTCTGATTTGGGTTGATAGAGATCTGATGATGTTTACAAAAGTCTATTTTTCTACACTGAGAAGGGGTTAACTCCTTTAAAACCTGGGCTGTATAATAGCCTGTAAAATAAAAACAACACAATTCCCTCAATTTGTCAACATGACTCTGCAAACAAATTTGTTTAATCAAATATTGTTAATAAAGCAATTTAAGGTCAAAATAGCTTAAAATATTTATGTCCAGTTAACACTTTGATCAAGAAATAAACTTCTCAAAGACATCATTGATGTAGTTTTCTGTCAGATATATAACTCTGAACGTCAATTTTCAAAGCATAACATTTAAAAAATTTGATTTAACAGTGGTATTCCTACCTGTAGCCATGCCTCTGTCCTGAATTCAACTCAGTGTAACAACATACAGCCCCGCTGTAAAACCTTTGTGTGTGAGAGAGATAGTTTGTGTGTGAGTGGGTCCTGCACTGGGTATGACATCTTATCTCGATAATCCCATAAGTAGATTGGAAGCCATTTCCCTTAAAGGTAATAAATTAAAAGGAGGATCAGAGTAGGTTGTCTACAAACTACGCTAAAAACATTACAACAGATTATTACAACAGATTATTGTATATCTAGCATGCATTTTAATAAATAAAATGTGTTGATGTGTTTTTCTTAAGTGTTATACACTTTATCTGTAGACTTTATCTGCTTCCAGGCCTGTATAATTGTATAGTTTATGCTCTGTAAAGCATTTTGAATTAGGGTGTGTACAAGTCTACTTCTAGAAAACTGTAAAAGTGTGGAAAGCCTGAGTTCCTTTAAATCAAGACTAAAAACACATTTGTTTCGGATTGCCTTTGACTGTTCCAGTTAAACAGTTCTACTGAAACATCATTAGTTCAACTTTTCTATTTTTTGTTTTTAATGTTCTTTTTTGTTTCTACATATTTTATTTTATTTTTTTCCTACTTGCTTTGATTCTGTTTTATTTTGCTATATTTCAATCATGTAAAGCATTTTGCATTGTCTTTGTACTGAATTGTGCTATACAAATAAATTTGCCTTGCCTTGCTTTGCCTTACATAGTCTTTGACTAATAGGTATCAGTGAAGCAGAAGTCGGGCCGAAAATTTTAGCAGGACTGGAAAGTTGCCCTGAAAAGAGCAACAAATCGCACAGTGTAAGCCTGGCTTTAGGTGGCAGTACAGTACTGCAAGATCCACCAGCTGCAGTAAGCTGCTGGGTCCAGGGACATCATGTTAAATCATTAAAGAAATGACACTAACAGTACTGAGAAAATAATTATGATGAATTTATCATCAGTTCTAGAATGTTCCATTGCTTTGAACATTCATTAAGCAATGATCAGTGTCTTTTTTGTTATAAAGTAGAATTACTGCGGTTCATTTCTTTTAAAATGATGTTTTTCAGTACTGTTTTAATTAATTTGTTTTGCACTGTTTTTTTGTTTATTTTAGAAACACTTAGATTCAACCTGTATGGATTTCCTTGCACGGCCTTGTGTTAGACACATTATCCATATACACACCTGGACAAAGTTGTTGGTAGCCCTCTTTTAATGACAGCAAAAGCCATGGTCACAGAAGTGAGTTTTTTTCACAGACACACAAGAAACAGGCCAAAGCTCATAGGGCTTGAAATTACCATTTGAGTTAACATGCAGGCATCAGAATGCTGGCAGCAGGCTCCTCTTATACCCTTAGGTTGATTTAACTATTTGCCTGCAGCTGTGAGCAATCAGATGTAGGTGAGGTCATCACAGGATCTCACCGATGCTATCTGGTGGAATACTGAAAACGCAAAAACTGTAACAAAAAAATACTGAATGTATTCTCAAACCGGGCTGCTCAGTGGCGCAGTGGGTAGCACTGCTGTATTGCAGCAATAAGGTTCTGGGTTTGATTCCTGGCCTGGGGTCTTTCTCCATGGAGTTGGCATGTTCTCCCTGAGCATGCGTGGGTTCTCTCTGAGTACTCAGGCTTCCTCCCACAGTCCAAAACCATGACTGTTAAGTTTATTGGCTTCTCTAAATTATTTGAGTGTGTGAGTGAATGGTTGTTTGTCTCTGTGATGGACTGGTGACCTGTCCAGGGTCTACCCCGCCTCTCTCCTGTTGGCAGCTGGAAATAGGCGCCAGCACCCCTCGTGACCCCACTTGGGATTAAGCATGTAAAGAAAATGGATGAATGTTTACCCCAACAGCATCAGGCTTTTGTACTTTTAGGTGAATCAGGACATCCTGCTATATCAATTTAATTGTCCCCCTATTGTTGCAATTGACCATAGAATAATTAGAGGTGAGTATTGGCATGGGTGTTTTGATATATGTGTCACTATCCTTGGCAACAATATTATATTATGACAATATTGCAATACCACTATATATTGCAATATTTTTCCAGCTATCAAAATTAAATGTATAAATAAAAAAGCGTTGTGAATGCTCTTGAGAAGATATTGATCATTCAGTTATTTTTGTATCCATGTTGTTTGTTGTGAGTCACTCCACGTCTTCCACTGTGACTGCCTCAACTATAGATATGGCACTGCACTGCACTGCACAGCAAAAGGGCTCCACGGCAGAGGAAGCCCTGTATCCTTCATTGTTTTAGGTAAATATGTTTACTTTTCTAAAATTGATATTAGGAACTGATGGATCAACATTATACAGGGCAGCCGAAAAGCATGATATATCACCAAAACAATCTTTTCCCACACCTGTAAGAATAAAACACGGTACAAACATATTGATATGTTTTATTATGAATTTCTGAACAGGTCCACTCTAATCTTTCAGGCTTGAAATCTGAAAAGAAAAAATTGTAATTTCATGAGTCACTAAATGGCTTTAAAGAGCAATTACTTTGAGCCAAAACATAGATATATGTAATAATCCTGCACAGCAAGTCCTGATTTTCTCTCAGTTACGTTACTACCCTGTGGGATACATTTTTTCTTTTTTGAGTTTTTACAGCACTAGTGGCTCGTTTTTCTGACAGTAGGCTGACAGGAAAGGAGGTGAGACATGCAGCAAAGGACCACAGGCCATATTCGAACCCGGGTCGGCCGTGTCGAGGACTAAGGCCTCCGTACATGGGGCGTGCACTGCACCACCTGCACACCCATCAATGAGGTATTTTTGAATTCAGTTAAACATGATTGCATTTATTAGCAAATAAAATTAGCAGACTTTTGATGTAAACTGTTGTGTTTTTTTCCCTGAGCATGGAGTCTTTAATGTACTGGACCAAATGGATGGTTTAAGGCTGTAGCTGCACTAATGGGTTTATATTTAGCTGGCTGCCTCCTGAAGATGCTCATAGTGTTCCATTAGAGAAAAAGGGACACACACCTGAAACTTCTATATCGCCTCTGACATCAACAAAAGCTTTTATCTTTGTTGCTCCAAAATGTCTTGACATTTAGGAAAAAGGATTATCAGACTTTTCAGGTACTTAAACAGTTGAGCTATTGGATGTGAGTTCTGATTAATTGTCCATTAGCAGGTGTGAAGCCTTTTTTCTGTCAAAGCTTTATATTTTTTTAGCTTTTAAACTCTGTTTAGAGGAAGCTATGATTGAGAATAACGAGTTACATTGAGATGAACATGCATGTTTTTAGTTTTTTTTTTTTTTTTAACAGCTTGAGAGGATCATTAGATCCTTCCAGTCCAGATCAAACTGATGTTAATGTTGACCAACACCGCCTGCCCCTAACAATTTTATTTTCATTTTAATAATATTGACTAGAATGACTCTTAATTTGCCAGTTTTTTTATTTTTATTTTCAGTACTAATTTTCAAATAAGCAACAAATTATGCTCTTAGAAATAATAAATAAATATGTCTAAAGGACAAATAAAAAGAAATTCAGGTAGTATGTATTTAAAATATATATAAAGACTCATCAGAACAGTGGTTTTAATTAACAGATTTCAATTCTTCCTCAAAATCTTTTTTATAGTTGAATTTCAGTGTATTTCTACGTTACATTTTTTCATGGTTTTTTGGAGATCATAAGTGTACTGAAGTGGGTGGGAGATGTGGAGGACCTTAAATTAATTGTCCACTTTTGCAGAGTTTTTACGGACATCAGTGACAAAATGACTGGGAGTCGTACAGACGTCAGTGAGTTTGTGCTTATGTTTGCGTGTCCTTGGCTGAAAGGGTATAAAGCCAGGTGATCAGTCAGAAGAAAATAAGAGAAAATACAGAAATCTTTGGTGGAGAGAGCAACAGGAAGTCAAAGAGCTGAACGAGCTACGAGAAAAGGTAATATTTATTATTATTATATATTTTGTATCATAATTTGTAATAATAAAGTATAATAGTCAATAATGATTATGTCTTAATGGGCTTTTTAAGATTTCCACATTACTTTTCAGGAAAAGTTAAAGGCTAACCTAACCCTACAACATAGTCATAATAAGAGACTTTTATTTTGTCAATCTGTAACAGAAATCAGAGGAATGCGTCTCTTGTTGCCATTGGTGGTGATGGTAATGGTGAGCGTGGCCAGGGCGGCACTTGGTCGATGCTGGGAAAGCCCCAGCTGTCAGGAACTCAACTCTGAGAACAACACAATGGTAAATATGATATTACAGATTTGGTTCAGTGAAACCCAATGGCTGATGGCACCTTTGGGCCAATCAATCAAATTTATCCCCATTGTTACTATGATGTAAAGCATTCATATCATTACCAATATAATTGATAAGAGGAAAATTATTATTTAGTCAAGCGATTAATTATGACTGACTTAAAAAAATTGCAAGAGTGCTGATATAAACTGTATTATTCAATGGGTGCACAACAAAAAATACCTTCTAAAAAATAAGAAAAAAATATAGTGTTTTAAGTGAATAATTGCTTATTTTGAGCAAAATAATCTACCAGTGCAGCAAGCAAATGAGACTTGGTAAGATTTCTTAAAACAAGAACATAATATCCAAGTAGTAAGCATCCAAAAAAACTTAAATCAAGTAGAAAAAGCTATTTCTTCTTTTACTTGTTAAGATTTTTTCTCTTATTTTAAGCAATTTATTCTAATTTATTAGTCATTATTGCTTAGAATTAAATGTCCTCTAACCAATTATTGGTCAAAACAAGCATACAACAGGCTTAAAAACAAGGCAAATGTACTTGATACCAGTTCATTTAAAGGCTTAAAACTAGTCTGTTTTTCTTAGCTAGAATTAATTTCATTATTTAGGTGTAGTGAATGTATGGGAAAAATACACTTGACAAAAACTTCAAAACGTTTTTTTTATTAATATTTTAGCAAAAATGTCACAGAATTAAGCGAAAAATTGGGTCAGTTCTTAAAACAGGTTAATATGGATTGTCTTATGTCTTGAAACAAGTAAAAATGTACTCACAGTCTAAATGTTAACGCGAGTCAGTCCGCAATATGTGCTATTTTAAGAAAAAAGCTGCTCAGAATTAGTTTTATTATCTAGTTAGGATGAAAAAAATGAATTTTCTTAAAACAAGTCAAATAATCTTAACAATATTTAGTCTTACTAAGAAAATACATTGAAAAACAAGTGTAATAAGACCAAAATGCTGAATTCAAGTTTATTACACTTGTATAGATTTTCCTTTTTTGCAGTGTGTAACTTAAGATATGAAGAGTGGCATAGTGTTGGGTCCAGTTAATAGCTTTGTTAAGTCCATTTCTTGCCTGGATGCAAAAAAAAAAAGTAAGACCAGTGCAACCAAAAAGCTAAATGCAGGCTGAAAAAACCCCCAAAACACTCATAGTTCTCCATTTATGACTTTGGAAAATCTCACACATGTGTTTTAAACTTAAACACATGCTTTGCACGCTGAAGGAGTATGATTGATGACGCAGTAATGGTACAAAATAAAAGCAACACAGATGTTTCACAGTTAAGAGATTAACTGTTGTATTTAAAAAAAAATTAAGTGGATAATCTGTATAATTACAGAAAAACATCGACAAAATGTTTTGAGAAACATGGTAACTGCAATATTTGTTGAACATGTCTGATTAATGAACAGATATCCAGCCAGCTAATTGAGCAGGAAAGCCACCAAAAAAGATCAAGCTCAATGACCTTCACTATGTATACCCTGAGTCAGATCATGACACATGCTAAAGGCTTAATATGTTAACGAAAACCTGCTCATTTACTTCTTGGTCTAGATTTTATTTATTGAATGTAAATCTTTAGATGCAGTAGGGATAATCAGATTGGTGGTTGAATCTTTTAAGAGAAAAGTCAATGTTGCCCAACTGGGTTAACAAGCTCTAGCATGTGAAAACATAATTCAAAACAGTACAATAAGTTGCATAAAAAATGGGCTAAAAAAGCTGTAGAATCACAAACTTGGAGTTTTTAGGGTTTTTTAGAATTTCAAGGTGAAGGAAAGAACTGGAGGAGACTCAAAAGAAGTCCAAATGTAATTTATTAGTTTATTTTCATTCATTTATTACTTGTTTTTTTCGTTCTACCAATGTCTTTGTCCTGCAGGACTGTTTTCAGCTCTGTGGAATCGACCCTCATGAGTTGACCACCATCCTTGCCAGTGTTTACCCGCAGCCTTCTCTATCAGTCTCTCTTTCTCCTTCACCCAGTCCTCCCTCCTCCTCTCAAACCAAAGCCTCCTACTCCATGAAGCATTTTCGTTGGGGGAATCCTCTCAGGAGAAAATGCCGCCCACTAAAAATCTACACAGGCAAAAGTGTGGATGGGATCACTGTTTTCCCTGGAGAGCTGGGGAGGTTGGAGCTTTCCAGGGAACAAGCAGCAGCCGAGGATGAGGAGCAGGTAGCACAGGGAGAAGAGGAGCAACTCTCCAAGGAGCGTCATGATAATAAAGACATCCTGTACAAGATGAAGCATTTCCGTTGGAGCAGCCCTGCGGCAGACAAACGCTACGGGGGCTTCATGAAGAGCTGGAAGGAGCACAGCAAGAGGCCACTGATCACACTCTTCAGAAATGTCATCAAAGGAGAGTAGAAAAGAGCAAAGTAGAGTGAAATGAGAAAAGGAAGATGATCAGGAGGAATAAATGATTGGAACATAAAATGTTCATATTTTTGTCCTACAGCTCAATATGTAACAGAAATGTTTTCATAAAGTACATTTAGTTTGCAGTATGTCGCCTCTAAGAAATTGCTCTTTAAAGCTAAAAAAAAAGTGGTGATTCTTAATGCCAAAACCTTTTTCATTTTTTCCAGACTTATAGTAATAAAGGAATATATCAATTATCTAACTAAAAGTCACCAAGTTACTGAAGTAGCTTACTTTTCATTTATTTTGTGGTTTGGTTGAACAGAGAGCTTATAAACAGATGGCATCACCTCTAGTAAAGATACAGAAATGATTTTGTCTTATATTTCAGGACATCTGTGCAATTTTGTAAAACTTGAAAACATGATTGATATGGCTTAAATGTTTACAACAACCGCTTGTCATCCCTAATATGGGCAAAGGATGGCAGTATTGAGATTTACCTTGCAGCTTTATGTTTCCTTCATAGACTGCACGTAAAAGTTAGGGATGGAAACAAGAGCTGCACAAGTTAGTACTCATATTCTTACTGAAATAAAAGCGCACACCTGTCTTAAAATTACTTTGGTGAAAGGAAAAGTACTAACTAAACTCTTTTGCTTAAGTAAAGATAAAAATAGGTTCTACATTGTACTTGAGCACAAGAGAAGATAGATATTTTTGCCTTAAAGCATGCAAATAACTTCTTAAGTTCCTATTTTTTTAAACTGAAGTTTTATGCACAGAAAATAGATTAGTTTTACTCCACAGCTCACGGTGTTGGATGAGAGAACATGAAACATACTGACTTTCTCTATTTTTATATTAAAATTTCCGATCAGATAATATGGATCGAAATAAAGTCCAAAATTAGCAGCTCAATACTTCAGAGCTCTAATATTTACTACATTAAAGTTGAAATAGCATTCAAATTGATAGAAATTTACGTAGATTAAAATCGAATAAAGGAGCAAATGATAGGGAATGCCTTCTGTATCAGAATCTGCATCATCATCTGCAATGTTACCCAGCCCCCTGATTTCATGCACGTTTCTATCACAGTTTTTCTATAAACAAACTGTCTCTGGACATATTCTCATTTGCTCTCAATTTTCCCTCTGTTTTGTTGCAGCTGTCATGTCGGTATAAATATGTACAGAAGTAACACACCAGTTTTGAGAAAGTATGAGTAGAAAGTACAGATATTTGTGTTCAAATGTAGTGAATAAAAGTGAAAAGTCCCCAGAAAAATCAAATATTAAGGTTAAGTATAGATACTGCAAAAAACCCCGGCATCATTACAATAACTACAGTAGTTAGTCACACTTAGTTACCGGAGACCTCTGGTGGAAAAGTAGCCTGAGACAGGAATCCAAGGTGCAGTAAAATAATGAAATAATAAATAATAAATAAATAAATAAATAAATAAATAAATAAATAAATAAATAAATAAATAAATAAATACCTAAGCCTGTCAGGTTAGCTTTCAAGATTCTTACATCAGCTCCACCCTCCTAATCATGTACAGTCGCTATTAAAAGGGTCAGATGATGAAAAAAAGATGGTGGAGGCGAATTATGGTTTAGATTGTATTTCATAAAATTATTGTCGATGTTATAAAAATATAAAGAGAGTTGCAAGCAAAATTCATGTGACTTGTTTCTTTTTATATTATGTAAAACAGATGGAGAGATTGACACTCTTGCTCTGTTTATATATAAATGAAGTTCACACAATGTTTTTCACTTCCTTCTTTTGGACTAGAAACCGTGACAACGGACAATCATCTCTAATGAACTGAGGAAGCAGGCAGGTTTCAGGGTTAAACGAAAGATGTTAAGCATCATATGTCAGACAGATGTGTCATAGTTCAGATATGGTTAGTGATGAGGTGTTAGTATAAGTCAATATAGAAAAAGGCTCATATTTAAAAAGGTTTAATGATTATAGCCCTCATAAATGAGAATAGAATATACTTGTTCTTATCAATGCTAATAGTGAATAATAGTTTACTGAAATAAAAAAATAAGTAATATGGGAATTATTAAAAAATAAGAGAATCTGAAATAAAAAGATTTAAAAATCATTAATCTCTCTCTGTAAAAGGAATATTTTATTCATTGTGATTGCAATGAATGCAGTTCAGTGATACAGACGAGATATGAAGTCAAACACGTTCTTTAAAATTTATAACATTAAAGTAAGATAATGTAATAAATATTTAAATAGATATTGATAATATCATTATTTGATAATGATTTTCTTGGGAGAGGAGAATTCTCTTAAGGTGATTTTGATGTTTATTAAAAAGTGGTCAGAGAGGACAGTGTCCTAATGACCCTAAATGAGGACATATATGATAAATTACCAAAATAAAAATGAAACGTGGGGCTTATTTAAAGAGTAAAACTGAAATAAAAAAAAAAATGAAATAAAAGGATGAAAAGAATTATTAATATTTATCAATAAAGGAATTAATTATTTCATTGACAGCATATTGATTCAAAATCTGTCCACTTTGCATCAGCAGCTCCATGCTCCAGCGCTCTGGGAGGGTTTATAGTCCTGAGAGTTGAACACTGGATGACTGACAGCTGTCCTTCATGACAACAGAAGACACAGAAATCCTCCTCATCAAAAACATGACTTTGATCTGCGTCCTCATCTGGACTCTCCTCTGCTGCTGCTTCAAAGGTAAAGTCCAGAGAATAAAACTCCTCTCCTCTATGAACATCTGTCCCTCTGAAATGAAGCCAACAAACCATGAAGCTGCTTTATGTTTTTGTCTCTGTGTCCTCAGAGTCCAGAGGTCGGGCCACAGTGACTCAGCCTGCAGCAGTGAGAGCTGATCTGGGAGGATCTGTTACCATCAACTGTAGAACCAGTCCGAATGTATTCAAGGGATCATTTCATGATCAGTTCTGGTTTCAAAAGAGAGAAGGAGAGCCTCCTAAATTAATAGTCCAGTTTTCTGATCAGCGAGCATCTGGGGTTTCAGATCGATTTTCAGGCAGGGGATCACACTCAAGCTTTGCCCTAACAATAAGAGAAGTAAAGGCTGAAGATGCAGCAGTATATTACTGTGTGGGGGCTTTTCAAGCACCAGCCGTTGTGTTAACACAGTGAAATATTGTCATATAAAAACCTTCAGTGGAGAGAACAGAAACTAGGCATTTCCCAGAAGACATGCAAACCACCAACCATTAAAAAAAGTCTTTGGTGGCAGAACAAACTATTACAAAGGGCTGGGGCTGGGGCACCCCAGGGCAGTATTGATCAGTGGCTGTCCAGGCATTTCAGAGCCAATGAACCACCAAGAATATTAATAAATTACCAAAATTTGTATATTCTCTCTCTTGTTTTAACCTAAAGCCAAAATAGTATCCAATCCAGTATTATTAAAGCAAATATGATACAATAATCTTAAAGGTCTCGCACGCTTTAAACCCTAATGGAGAAAGAACTGCAGAAAAAGAGACCTGTCCTGCATTCAAAAAAGCAAGAAGCATGACAGTGATGCCACACCAAACAGTATTTAGTGCCACTTTGTTCCTTTACAAGCAAAAATAGCATTGTTTAATAATTCAGGCTGAGAGTATCTAATTGGGTGAGACACACAAAGTTGTTAAAAGCTGATGTTACCAGAAAAAATCAGAAATCTATATAAGCATTTTCTTAATTTTATTTTAGCTATAATTGCTTATGCCACTATGTCTGGGACCGAGTCACAGGGGCAGCAGTCTCAGTAGAACTCCAAAATAAAATCAGTTCAACACAGGGCTCCCCTTGAAACAAATGGTTTTATTATGAAAATGTTTACTGACCTTTGTGCTTGTTTGTAAAACAAAACAAAGATCACAATTAATATTTTATGCCCTAAAAAAGACCAGGGCTTAGCATCAAATAACAGGCATGTTTAGACTAGGAGTGATGACATGGATAAATTAGCAACAAAATGAAACCGTCGTGCCATAACCCATGGTATTAAATGTGGACATTGGGGACCAATGCTGTTTTTCAAAGAATTCCTAAGCTGCACCAACCCATCTGCAAAACACTCCCACAGAGACACATCACAGAGACACTTAATACCCCCCCTGCCATGTTTGCTATAAAAGAATTCATTTGAACATATTCCGATTGCTCATTTGACCTAATCACTGACTCTTTAATATAAACTTTGGTTCTGAAAAATAAAATCCATGCCAAACTGTGATATTATTTTTTCATTTTATTGATTATGTTTTTGAAAACGATTTCTATGTATACATAGTAGCATAGCTAGTTGAGTTTTACTAGTTTATTCATGAGTGTTTGACTGAAATATGATTGACCGCAACTTTAATGATTCTTGTAAATGATTTTTTTTCAAGGACCAACCAGAAGACACAAAGGGGGTGTCCTACAAGGTTGCTCTCCTTTAACATTTGTTTTAGCTGCAGTTATTTACAGTTTGTCTTAGGAATAGGCAAGATATTAGGCAATTTAAGTTATTTGCTTATCCTCTGATAATAACTCACCTCAATGATGATGATCATTATTTTTCTCAAGGATGAAAAACAGATCCCATTAGTTCCAAAAAAGACCAAAGTTTTTTCTAGATCCTGTGTTTGTGTAAGAGTGTACTCATTTTTATCTTCGTGTGGGGATTCTAACCTGATTACACGTTCACATTATGGGGACCTATGTCCTTATCCAGACCAAAAACCTGGTGCCCATGGTAAAGTTCTCTTCTTTGAGCAGAGGTTAGATTTAGGACTACAGTGTGAAATCAGTTCAGGTTAGGATTAGGTATATGTTGGTAAATGGTTAGGGTCATGATTAGGCCAGATAAAATCAATGTAAGTAAATGAAATGTCCCCATAAGTCATGAAAACAAGAATGTGTATGTGTGCCATGTAGGCATGTAGAGCGTCATTTTCTCTCCATTTTCCTTGCATTTTGCTTCGAAGTGCCCAGCTCTGCATTAAACCAGGGTACCAACTTTCCATTTTTTTTTTTCAGTTTTCTTTTTCAAAGGGGCTAAGTTGTCAAAGGACAAACAAAGAGAACTAGAAACCTCATCAACAAAATCATCAATATGTGAAGTGGAGGAAATTAAATGGTTGCCCTCTGCAGTTCAGTGATACATAGGAGATGTAAAGTGGAACACGTCATTTAAAATTTGTAACTGTATTATTTGATAATGTTTTCTAAAATGAAACCTTCTTTTGGGAGAGGAGAATTCTTAAAGTAATTTTGAAGTTTATTAAAAAGTTTCAGAGAGGATAGTGTTGTAATGACCCTAAAAGAAGACACAAATAAATTACTAAAATAAAAACGATGTGGGGACTATTTAAGAAGTAAAACTAAATCTGAAATAAAATACAATTAATTATTAATCTTTATCAATAAAGGTGATAAATTATTTAATTGCAATTGACGACATATTGATTCAAAATCTGTCCACTTTGCATCAGCAGCTCCATGCTCCAGCGCTCTGGGAGGGTTTATAGTCCTGAGAGTTGAACACTGGAGGACTGACAGCTGTCCTTCATGACAACAGAAGACACAGAAATCCTCCTCATCAAAAACATGACTTTGATCTGCGTCCTCATCTGGACTCTCCTCTGCTGCTGCTTCAAAGGTAAAGTCCAGAGAATCAAACTCCTCTCCTCTATGAACATCTGTCCCTCTGAAATGAAGCCAACAAACCAAGAAGCTGCTTTATGTTTTTGTCTCTCTGTCCTCAGAGTCCAGAGGTCAGTTCACAGTGACTCAGCCTGCAGCAGTGAGAGCTGATCTGGGAGGATCTGTTACCATCAGATGTAAAACCAGTCCAAGTGTTTACAACAAAGAACGTTTAGCCTGGTACCAAGAGAAGAGAGTAGGACAAACACCTAAACTAATCTTTCACTATGTTGGTAGAAGAGCATCTGGAACTCCAGGTCGTTTTACAGTTGGAGGATCAAACACTGACTTCACTCTGACCATCAGAGGAGTTCAGGCTGAAGATGCTGCAGTTTACTACTGTCAGGGTGAATTCCTCTGGGACAGTCAGTGGATGTTCTCACAGTGAAAACACCAACACAAAAATTTCAGAGTGATTAGAAACTGCAGCTGGAAGTTACAGCAGACAATATTTAGGTTGTTAAAGACAACACAGGACTGCCATCATTAGGTTTTAACAATGTTTACCGTATATGTTTATAAATATTTTTGAATTGTTTCACCCCTATGCAGATTGGTTTCATGTTAACCTACATGTGTTTTGCAAGTTTACCAGAAGATTTTTATATAAGTTATAGCCAAGTAATAGATCATTCAATTCAAAGGTAAAACCAATCAGCGATGACTAGTTAAATTATTATAACTGTAATTTGCTTATTTACCAAGGTCCTTAGTCTTTTACATAAGGTTGGACTCCTGGATCAGTTGTTTAAATTTCCAGTTGTCTTTCACCAATTTATTATATATTTATAATTAAGCAGACAGTAACACACAGCATGGATGGTTAAGTCAGGCTCACTGAGCATTAGCATTCAGTTCAAAACTCTTACTTGAAAACCATCAGCAGTTGATATCTTCTTCTTTCAGATGAAACAACGAACATGTTAAAATATCTTTCTACCTTTGGACTTGGTTCTGTTCCATCCTGGTCCGAGTTCAATCGTCAACCAGGTAGCTCTTAAGGAGATTTGAGTTATACTGATGCAAACAACAGAATGAAACTTTGCAGGGCTTAATTTTGTCACTCAGTGTAGTCTTGGAAGAGGGGGTCACCTTAAGGCAGTGGCTTGTAGCAGCGGCTCAAACGACGGCAGCACATCTCCAGTAGCTGAACCAATGGGTCATGGTCCAGTGCTTTCACAGTTCAATGAAGTGGCAGAACCGGTGTGGCATGGGTGGGCAGCTTCTAGTGGCTCCTCAGCAAAAAGCAATTGGGCAAAATATCCCCATTTCATTACCTTAGAGATTCTTTAACACAAATTCCTTCTAATCTTTATTGTTTTGAGCTTAATAAAAAAAAAAAGAAGATTGTTCCTTGGCGGGGCTACAGTACTTCCTGAGCATGTGTGGGGTTCTCTCCGGGTACTCCAGCTTCCTCCCACAGTCCAAAAAGATGTTTATGTTAATTGGCTTCTCTAAATTATCCTAAGGTTTGAGGGGTCTGTGTTGCCCTGCGATGGACTGACGACTTGTCCAGGGTCTACCCACCCGTAGACAGCTGGAGATGGGTACCAGCACCCCTCCCCACTTGGGATAAAGCGTGTCAGAAAGTGGATGGATGAATGGATTGTTCCTTGGCAAGAGGGACACCTCGGATAAAATTTTCATTAAAAGCATAACTTTTCAAGTTACGTTTAACACAGACAGACAGACAAAGGCACAAACTTTTTCTAAAAACACAAACTCCTCGGCGGAGGTAATGAACTGTGAATGTGTAATTCAAACTTAACTTTCCTCAAGTAGCAGCTCATTATATGGCATTGGGCCAGAACAGCTACTTTTCAAGGTTCAAAAAGAAACATGATGACATGTAGAGTTCAGCTCCATGTGACTGACTCTGTTTGTTTGCATATGTGTCCTCCCTCTCTGCTCCCAGCTGTTAAGAGGTCAGTGTTAATCAGAGGCTGTCCAGGCCTTTCAGAGCCACTGAACCACCAGCAGCACAATTATGATGTTACTGACTCTACTGCTGACCATCCTGGAGCTCCTGGTTCAGGGTGAGACTCTCTGCTCAGAACTTGGTTTGAGGAAGAAATCAGCTTCATGAAAATTATGATTCTGTCATAATCTTTAATCAAACAAAATGTGTCTAAATTGCAGTTTATTTAATGTATTCCAGGTTCATCAGGAGACATAATCCTGACTCAGACTCCTGGATCTCAGTCTGTTGTTTAGGGTCAGACTGTCTCCATCACATGTGAACCCTATTTGAGTGTTGCTGACCGTCTCCAATGGTACCTTCAGAAAACTGGGAAAGCTCCTAAACTCCTGATATATTTGGCTAGAATTCGTCAGTCTGGAATTCCAACTCGTTTCAGTGGAAGTATTCCTGGTTCTGAATTCGCTCTGAACATCAGTGGAGTTCAGGCTGAAGATACAGGAGTTTATTACTGTCAGCAGAGTTACAACTACCTGTTCACACAGTGATAGAACGTTATACAAAAGCCTCCCTCAGCAGCAGAGGAACTGATCTTACTCAGCAGCTGAACTGAAACACTACAAGTTAAACACATAACTGAATATAAAGAACTAGTTTAAAATATTATTTTTACACTAGAACATTTCTAAAGACATTTTGAAGGGGGGCCAACTAATGCCCGGTCGGGAACCTGGCTAATGGATGGGGCCCATAGATGTGACATTGGGGCTCCCTAGACAGATTGTTTACGCATATGAGGGCTCCTGAAGGACAGAAAAAGGGCAAGCCTATTAGCACAGAGAGTGGTGCCTCAAGTTGGCTGAAAGCTGCAAAATAGACGTGCGCAATATATAAGGCACAACGGCCATTTGGATTGTTCTTAATGCATTGTAGTGATGAAAGCAGTATAAGCAGGCTCAGCCCGCATGTTAGAGGTTAGTAGATGCTTTTTTATAGAGGAAATGGATGAGCTTTATTTAGAAATGAGCTCCTGGTTTAGGGTGAGATTCCTTGCTGAAAAGCAGTAGTGTTCTGGAATTAAATACTTTCAAACAAGCAGAATGAACTTTATAATGTTTACTAATTATGTTAAACATATTGTACCGAAAAATGTGCTTTCTGTTTTATGTTCTAAAGGTTCTTCACAAGACATCATCCTGACTCAGACTCCTGGAGCTCAGTCTGCTGTTCAGGCACAGACTGTCTTTATCAGATGTAAATCTGACAGAAGTATAGGTGATGACGTGACCTGGTACCTGCAAAAATGTGGAGGAGCTCCAAAACTCCTGATCTATATTACCACAGAGCGTCAGTTTGGAGTCCCAGAAAGCTTTTGTGCAACAGTACAACAGATTGACTTCACATTGGTAATCAATGGCGTTCAGGTTTATGATAGAGGAGTGTCATGTCTAAGCACCTAAAACATCATGCATACATACAGGGAAAGAAAAAGGCACAGAGACAATTAGTTTAGTTTTACTCGCAAGGAGAGTAAGAAGAGACCGCACGCCACCCCACTCTGCTTGGTCTCAGTGTCCTCCTAGCAATTGGTTGCTAGGAGGACTGTCCTGGTTACAACAGCTTAGACTGCACTAAGGGGGGAAACAAGATAAGGAATTCAGACTTGCAGTCTCAGCAAACATGTCCTCTAACTCTCAAGGTTCAGTCAAAGTTTAGGTAGTTGTAGCTGTTGACCAAAGTGCAGCAGGTTTAATGCTGCTCGTAAATCTACCACAACCTCCCCAAAAACAAGTCCACAAATCACAGTATACTTTAGAAAAGGTGGCTATGATCGCATGCACATAGCACACAGCTTTATGCATTATAACACTACACAGATACATTTATATACAATTATTCTAACAAGGAGTTTACTATTGTCTGCAGCGTAACAGCTACCCATTTGCACAGTGATACAAAGTTGTAAAAAAACTCCCAGAAAATGAACTGATCTTATTTTCATAAACTGCAGGAGAAATTAAAGAACCAACGAGATATATTAAATGACAGTCCGTCCATCTATTGATCTATTGATCTATCCCTCTATCCAACCATCTATCCATCTATCTATAGTGGCTCTATCAAGTCTGAGAGTGGGCTCAATGAACAACATGCTCATGAAGTTAGGCAGATCTTAACACACTCTTAATGTAGTTGAATTGATGTATTTAAGAAGTTTAATGATGCATATTATTTTCCAGAATTTACAGGGGAGGCTTAGACTCCCCAGGATTCAATAAAAAAAATCCACTGTTCTCTATACTCACCAAGTGACTAAGCAAGCTTTTTTTTTTTTTTTTTACTATAAGCTTTATCAAAAAGGAAAGTTTTAAGCCTACCCATAAAAGTAGACATGTCTCCTCACGGACTAAAACTGGTAGTTGGTTCCACAGGAGAGGAGCCTGATGACTAAAAGATCTGCCTCCCATTCTACTTTTTGTCTGGATCGAGTTGAGGTTTGTGGACCCAAATGTAGAGGCAGGGAGGCAGAGGTGAGTTTCTTGTTGATTAGATGAAAGGTTAACATAACACTAAGGCAGGAATCCAAAAATCAAACATGAAAACAAAAGACAAACAAACCAGAAATCAAGGAGACATCTGGGAAAACAATCAGGAGGAGGAAGACTCAGTGAGACGGAGTTGGAGGAAGTTAGACAAGGAACCAGCACTGAGGAACTGCATAAGGAGTGTATTTATGGGAGACTGAAACAAAGAGAGGACTAACGAGCAGATTGGGAGCAGGTGTGAACAGAGCAGACAGGAAAGGGGCCAGGGAAAAGGAGAACACAAGAGGACAGCTGAGGCAAACAAATAAAAACCTGAAAACTGAAAAATAACCAGAGAACACAACAAAATAAGAATTAAACCATTAAAACTAGAAAACATGGAGCAAAGTAAAACTGAATTTTCAAAAGAAAACATAAAAGAACCAGAACTGTGACACTTTTAGGAATTCTAGGAACCACTAGTAAACCTGGAGATGAAGAGCGAAGTGCTTTGTTAGGGACATAAGGAACAATAAGATCCCTGATATAAGATGGAGCTTGACCATTTAAGGCTTTAAGTGTAAGAAGGATGTCATGGTCGCAGCCCTGATAGCTCACTTAATTATTCCTCTCACTCAACTTCCTAACCCTCCCCGGTTACTAATTATCATTCATCTTATCCACCTGCGGATGTTGCTTTATATACAGTTCAGTCCAGCTATTGGGGTCAGATCACTGATGTATGTTTGTTTTTCTTTAGTTTGAGTTTGTGTTTTTGACTTTGATTTCCAGGGTTCATGTTCTCATCTTGGAGGCCAGTGGTTAGAGAGGATTTTTGTGTGTGTCTTGTCTGACTTTAGAAAGGTCACAGCCCCACCGTCCCCCCTTGCCCTCACAGACAGCCCCACCCCCATCTCCAACGTGGAGTCCTTCCGCTTCCTGGGCACCACCATCACCCAGGACCTCAAGTGGGAGCCGACCATCAGCTCCCTCGTCAAGAAGGCCCAGCAGAGGATGTTCTTTCTGCGGCAGCTGAGGAAACTTAAGCTGCCAACCCGGATGTTGGTGCAGTTTTACACCTCCATCATTGAGTCCATCCTCACATCCTCCATCACCGTGTGGTACACTGGCGCCACCGCCAGGGACAGATACCAACTGCAGCGCATTGTGCGCTCCGCTGAGAAGGTGATCGGCTGTAAGCTGCCATCACTCCAGGACCTGTATGTCTCCAGGACCAGGAGACGTGCAGGTCGCATCACAGCCGACCCTTCTCACCCTGGACACAGACTGTTTGAACCTCTCCCCTCAGGGAGGAGGCTACGGTCCATACGGACCAGAACCTCCCGCCATAAAAACAGCTTCTTCCCCTCTGCCATAAGACTCATGAACACTATATGTCAGACTCCATAACCTGCCCATGCCATTCACACTGCTGTATTGCACACTGCTCTATTTGCACTATCTTGTACATTTTACTTTTTATATTTATCCATATTTTTATCTTAAGTGTATATATTAGTATATTTTTTGCATGCCTTATACCCTAGTGTTTTTAGAGATTTTTATAATTTTATTTACTATTTCATATATGTTTCATGTTGCACGACTGTACCACAGAAATTTCCTAGTTGTGAACCTCTTCACTAACAATGGCAATAAACCCGATTCTGATTCTGATCTGATTCTGATTCTGATTCTAACATTTTCCTGATCGTGTCCTGGCTCTTGTCTACTATGTGTGCCCTTTTCCTGTTTTGGCTCGGTGAAGCGAGCTACTGTAGTTTAAAGTTCCGTAGTCCTAGCTCTTATCAACTGAGCGTGCCCTGTACATGTTTTGGCATAGTGGAGGGGAGCTAGTTTAAAGTTCCACAGTTTTCCTGGTGTCATGTCTAGTTCTGCCTCTCAACTGCTGAGCCTGCCTGTTTCCATGTGAGCGAGTCTGCCTGTTGGACCTATGGAACCCTGAACCTGCCTGAATGCTCTGTGGATTCCTGGAACCCTGGATCTGTCTGTTCCTGTTCTGATCAGAACCCCTAACCGGGCTTCGGACTCCTGGATCTCAGAACTGTCTTGTGCTGATTTGTTTTTTCTGACCTGCCTCAGACTCCTGCCTGTTCACTTGGGCTGCTGCATCGGGGACACTCTGGGCAGCTCCCGCCACAACTTGTTGGTAGTCCATCGGCACTCGAGGGAATGGACTGAACTCTTAAACCACAGTGTCAGTGATAGGTGGAGTGCCGCCTCCTCCCGCAGCCGCAACAGTTCTGCAGATCAACAGTTTTGCTTCTGTTATGTTTAATTTTCAATAAAACGTTTTGAACTTTCCCACTGTCTGTCTCGCTTGAATACAGGGTCCAAAATTCTTTGTTCATTACAAAGAGGATTTTAAATTCTATTCTAGATTTAATAAGTGTCCAATAAAAAGAAACTAGGATAGGACAGATATGATCCCCCCTTTTAATTTTTTAATGATCTCTTTTTTAATTTTTGGCTGCAGCATTTTTGGATCAGCTGAAGGCTTTTAACTACAGTTTGTGGACTGTAAAGAATAACATCAGTTCAGCCTTGAAGTAAAACATTTATGGACTAGTTTCTCAGCACCACCCCTGGACAGGATATTTGTTATTTTTGCAATATTCTGGGGATGAAAGATGAAATTTCAAATGAGCTTGCATATCTATTTGAGAATTTTTTTTATTATTTTAGTTTAGACAGCACAAATCTGTTTTTTTTTTTACTAGATTAGATTAGATTAGATGAGATAGATATTCAGAATTCAATTTAAAATCCTTCTCTATACTTTCAAAGCCATCCATAACCTTGCTCCTCCATATCTGTCAGACCTCCTTCACATTGCCACCTCCTCCTGCTCCCTTAGATCCTCCTCCTCCATCCACCTCACTGTACCCCCAGCTCGACTTGTCACCATGGGGAGCAGAGCCTTCAGCCGCTCTGCTCCCCAGCTCTGGAACTCACTTCCTCCCGACCTCCGCAGTATTGACTCTCTCCCCTTATTCAAAGCCAGACTCGAAACCCATCTGTTCCAGCTCCCTTATTCACTCGTCACATATTGGCATAGAAGTTACAGAAGGTGCAAACAAGAAGGAAAAAGGTGCATATTATAGGCTGAATGAAAAAAATATTATATAGGAATATATTTAATTCAAAAAGAGCAATATTGTTTCGGTTTAATTAAATGTCTATGAGCTGTTTATTTTTTGGTTAATGATGGATATGGCATTTAAGAGAATGTGTTTTCCTTCAAGACACCTCAATTCAATTCTGTTTATTTATATAGGACATATTCACAACACATAATAACTCAAGGAAATTTACAGAGACAATTCATGCAGGCAGATTGGTTCAAAGTTTTCCATCTAAGCTGATTGCATCGACTCACTGACCTTTCAACAATCCTTTCAACAAAAATTTTGGTACCAGTTAAAATCATCTTATGATGAAAATGAGATAAGCCCTGATATGTCTACTGGTAGTTTTTTTATGCAAGAACTGTGTACAAGTAGGCCTTTTTTCACAGATTTGTTTATGTTCAGAGTCAGAGAGCCGTGTCTTTAACAGTCAGAGGTTTTTGTACGACGGCTCCATCAGTTTGTATCACTGTGGTACACGTTTGGTGAAGGAACCAGATTGGATGTTGGAAGTAAGTAAAATTGTTTGTTACTGTTTTCTTGTCAGTCTTTTATTTCATTTCTTAGTTTTTTTTTCACTCATAATAATGAAGCTGTGGAAATGATTTTGGTAAATTAGTATTTAGTTTACAAAACCAATGATGGGAGACACTAAAGCTAAGACTTTATATTTTCAAATATATGATGGTCTCACTATTGATTTATTAGTTTTTAAAATTTATTCAGATAGTTTAATCTGGATTTTTCCGTTTTAATTAGGTCTTAAAAGTAATTGAACCACGTCTCTCTTCAGTCAGAGTCAGTTTTTGTGTCAGTGTGCCACAAACTTATTGGAAGAAACAGATTTTAAAATTATTAGAAAATTACATCATACTGTTTTCAGTTTCTCTTTTTGTGATAAAAAAAAATGTATTCACTGGAACCTTGACCTGTACTATGTAATTGATGCGGAATTAGGATTCTAATTTAGAATTTATTTTTAGAAAAGTTTTGGTATGTCCATAATTACTAATATATAAAATGACCTAACTTAATCTGTAATCTGAGATCTAAATTGTTATTTCTAATAACCTGCCTGTAGCAGTGCAGTGGAAAAAAGAAGAAATATTAGATGCCATTTTGTTCTCTATTTGTTGTAAAATGTAAAGTCTATTGGGTACATTTTGAAAAAGAAATTCTCATGAGAAATGTATGTTTAACTTTAAATGAAAAATATTTAAACTTTTTCCTTATATGCAAGGTTTGTACATTATTATAGGGTTGATATGCATGAGGTAAATCACTAAGGGAAGTGAAACATTAAGTGAAGAAGTGACTGTTGGAGCAAAAAGACATCTGGCAGGAACATCCTGACACAGAGGACCATTGCTGTCATATGAAAACACGTATATATAACTGACAGATTTGTTTGTCATGTTCTCTAACCTGATTGGTGTCTCCTAGGTGATGCTCGTCCCACCCTGACAGTGCTGCCCCCCTCCAGTGAGGAGCTGCAGCAGGGGAAGGCCACCCTCATGTGTCTGGCCAACAAGGGCTTCCCCTCAGACTGGAGTCTGTCCTGGAAGGTGGACGGCAGCAGCAGCAGCAGCAGCTGGGAGGAGAACAAGAGCCGAGGAGTGCTGCAGAAGGACGGCCTCTACAGCTGGAGCAGCACCCTGAGGCTTCCTGCAGAGCAGTGGAGGAAGGTGGGCTCTGTGACCTGTGAGGCCACCCAGGGCTCCCATTGTCCAGTAACAGAGACACTAAAGAGAGACCAGTGCTCCCAGTCCTGAGCTGATTCATGGATTTTCTAATGCATTATTCTCATACAGATCTACTGTTTTAGAAATTTTCTGTAGGTTTTCGTCTGAAGAATCTCTGTTACTTTTTCAAAATACAGTAAAAAAAAACAATAAAAAAATCATTCACACTGTTCTACTTTTATTTTATTCAAAATCCTTTTAGCTATACAGTGGGGCAAAAAAGTATTTAGCCAGCCACCAATAGTGCAAGTTCTCCCACTTAAAAAGATGAGAGAGGCCGGTAATTTTCATCATAGATATACCTCAACTATGAGAGACAAAATGAGAAAAAAAAATCCAGAAAATCACATTGTCTGATTTTTAAAGAATTTATTTGCAAAATATGGTGGAAAATAAGTATTTGGTCAATAACAAAAGTTCATCTCAATACTTTGTTATATACAATTTGTTGGCAATGACAGAGATCAAACGTTTTCTGTAAGTCTTCACAAGGATTTCACACACTGTTGCTGGTATTTTGGCCCATTCCTCCATGCAGATCTCCTCTAGAGCAGTGATGTTCTGGGGCTGTCGCTGGGCAACACGGACTTTCAACTCCCTCCAAAGATTTTCTATGGGGTTGAGATCTGGAGACTGGCTAGACCACTCCAGGACCTTGAAATGCTTCTTACGAAGCCACTCCTTCGTTACCCAGGCGGTGTGTTTGTGATCATTGTCATGCTGAAAGACCCAGCCACGTTTCATCTTCAATGCCCTTGCTGATGAAAGGAGGTTTTCACTCAAAATTTGACGATACATGGCCCCATTCATTCTTTCCTTCACACGGATCAGTCGTCCTGGTCCCTTAGCAGAAAAACAGCCCCAAAGCATGATGTTTCCACCCCCATGCTTCACTGTAGGTATGGTGTTCTTTGAATGCAACTCAGCATTCTCTCTCCTCCAAACACGATGAGTAGAGTTTTTACCAAAAAGTTCTATTTTGGTTTCATCTGACCATATGATATTCTCCCAGTCATCGTCTGGATCATCCAAATGCTCTCTAGCAAACTTGAGACGGGCCTTGACATGTACTGTCTTAAGCAGGGGGACATGTCTGGCACTGCAGGATTTGAGTCCCTGGCAGCGTAGTGTGTTACTGATGGTAGCCTTTGTTACTTTGGTCCCAGCTCTCTGCAGGTCATTCACTAGGTCCCCCCGTATGGTTCTGGGATTTTTACTCACCATTCTTGTGATTATTTTGACCCCACGGGGTGAGATCTTGCGTAGAGCCCCAGATCGAGGAAGATTATCAGTGGTCTTTTATGTTTTCCATTTTCTAATAATTGATCCCACAGTTGATTTCTTCACACCAAGCTGTTTACCAATTGCAGATTCAGACTTCCCAGCCTGGTGCAGGTCTATAATTTTTGTTCCGGGTGTCCTTTGACAGCTCTCTAGTTTTGGCCATGGTGGAGTTTAGAGTGTGACTGTTTGAGGTTGTGGACAGGTGTCTTTTATACTGATAACGGGTTCAAACAGGTGCCATTAATGAAGGTAACGAGTGAAGGACAGAGGAGCCTCTTACAGAAGAAGTTACAGGTCTGTGAGAGCCAGAAATCTTGCTTGTTTGTAACTGACCAAATACTTATTTTCCACCATATTTTGCAAATAAATTCTTTAAAAATCAGACAATGTGATTTTCAAGATTTTTTTCTCATTTTGTCTCTCATAGTTGAGGTATATCTATGATGAAAATTACCGGCCTCTCTCATCTTTTTAAGTGGGAGAACTTGCATTATTGGTTGCTGACTAAATACTTTTTTGCCCCACTGTACCTGTTTACTATTATTCTTTGTTTTATCGTGCCAGAGAAAAAAGGATTTCCAATTCTCTTATCTCTGTGGAGTTATCTGAGTATATCTGTGGAAATAAAACTGGAAAAAGATTTTGCAACTGAAAAATAAAGTGCAAAACTAGAAAAAAGAAAGTAGTTCAAAACCTAGGGAAACCAGTGGTACTCTTTACATACATACATACATACTTTTTTGGATGGTTTTCTTGAGATACCAAGTTACTTTCCTCATTATCTATGTAACAATAGTAACTATTGTTGGGAACATTTGTTTAGTTTGAGTTCGCTCAGGGACTTTTATAAGTGTAACACCACCTGTTCGAGAAGACTTGGGCCATTTCTCATATGCTCATGGTCTCGTGAAATGTCATCAGCCTCAGCCCTAGTACTGTTCCAATTCACAAGAACACAACATTGAAACTAGACAAAGTCACAGATTTTGTTCTTGCCCCTCCCTCTTCACCCAGCAAGCATCAGAGCAAATGTGTCTATTCTCTGGATTGACAGCTGTCCCAACATGCAACACAGCAGAAGCAGCTTCCAGGGGAGTGCTCACAGAGTTCAGAGTATTAAGTTAAACGTTCTCTTTTCTGTTGCCTCTGTTTTGTAAAAGTATGTTTTAAGATAATTTCAGGAGAGAACTTTATACTTTTAAGCACAACTCTATGGCCCATTTACTGATTTAGTGCGTAATTCTATAAAATGTACCGATATTTAGAGGACCGCAGCAACCAGCTGAGGGTAACTGCAGCCAAGGCTAACATTAGTCCATCTGCAGCAGCCCTCTCTCGGCGTTGCCATATGTGAAGTACCGCTGGCTCTGATGCAGATATTTTTGTTTTATTTGGTAAAATTTAATTTGATTTGTGTTTATCTGTGTTAATTATTATTCACCCACTAAATGAAAAAAGTAAGAATTTATGATTATCTAGAGACTATTAATAAGTTCCAGATGAGCTGAGCATGTGATGATGTCACAAGTACGCTTCTGTTCCAATTGACTCATATTTATGCTGTGTACTCCAGTTCTCCCCAAGTCCATACTTTTCTGTGCGCTTCTCAAGAACATACTTGACAAGATCACAAGTCCATACTCACATTCTTGTGAATTGAGAAACGCCCTGTGGCTGTGTCTGAACATCAGCCCTAATCACTATACAGGGCACTATGTAGTGGTTACGCCATTTTAAATGAGTGTTTGAACATCTAGTGGATGAAAAAAGTAGTGGACTCGAATATAATGTATATGGAAAGTACTGATCATCCATGGTCACTATTCAAGCACAGCATAACCCACAATGCCGTGCAAGAGCTCTTCTCACAAAGCATTATGGGATTTGTTGTGACAGCGGCTCACTATTGGGTAGTGACAGTGGCAACAAATGTTAATGCAGGGAGGCTGAGTCACGTGACCAA